ACACATTTAGGCACCTTGGTAGGACAATCTCCAAAACAGTCAAAGTACAATTGTAAACAGTTATATATGTGACTTTAACACAAATATTAAAAAATGCAAGTATGGAAGATATATTTACCTGAGAGAACGAACAGGGTGATGGCAGCTCCTTCCAAGGAGATCGTAGGCACGGTGATTCTAGAGGCACCAGGGAAGGTAAAACTGGCTGATGTTCTACAGTGTCATGAAATTACTATTTTGGGCGATATCTTTTCTATTAGACCGAAATCATTTATTTCTGCCAGATATACAATAGATAAATTAACATGTAATTTCATAGAATCTGGACTCTCGACAATAGTAAATGTAAAAATAAAGATTCATTTTTTTAAAAGACTAAAGTCATCCTTGGGTAATGTTGTACTATGACCACCATGAGATAGAAAGCCATCCAATCTCTCTCTCTCTCTCTCTCTCTCTCTCTCTCTCTCTCTCTCTCTCTTTCTCTCCCCCCCCCCACTTTTTTCTATAAGCTTTATTATCACATGTAGCAGTCATTTAAAAATTCTTTCTTTGCCTTGATCTAACAAGGAAAGCTAAACTTTTGGTTTGTCATGAGCCTTCTAGTCACAATTTTCCTAGAAAAAAGCATAGTTTCTAACTTATAAATGAAGACCAAGTCTCTGTCTTCCAAGAGGAAACAATTTATTCCCTATAGCAAATGACAATGACTGTGCCAAGGAAAATTCTGGGGAAGGAGGATTTATGCTATTTTACATGTTTAAATTTCCTTTAGAAAAAAATGAACAAAATCATTTTTACTGATTGACCTGAAGGGTTGACTATCACAAGAGCCTAGAGTTAGGTGCTAGCCACTTACTTCCCCAATATTAATGTATATGCATTTTATTTGGACAATTAATTTCATCTTGAGAAAGAAGATACGAATAAGACGTTAGTGAAGCCTTTTGTTTTTCTTATTTTATCTCTTGATTCCTGTCTCTTGACCACCAGATAACATGTCCAATAAGTGGAACAAAGAAAAGTCACATTATTTGACTTAGTTGCTATTAAGCAGTTGTCATTAAGAAGGTCTAATGCGGGTAGAAATTAAAGCTATTTCCTAAAATAGGGACAATAGTTTAAGTATTGTTTTCAGTTAAGTATACTATAATTGTCCCCTCTGCAAATGCCTCTACATAAGGCAAGCAAATTGTAATTATGAATAATATAATTATATATCATTATCTAAATTGTATATGCTTCAGCCTTGTCCCAGAAAATGGATTCTTCATGAAACTTAGTCGTCATATCCAGGAATTAGTCATTGTATATCCACCCTAATCAATAGTGCAGTTGATGATTAATAAATGCTTATCAACAATTAGTTTACAGGAAAACAAAGAACATATACAGAAATATAACTCATCTAGGGATAGAGGCAGAAAGATGTGGATAATTGTGGTGGTAAGGGAAACAACTCTGAAGGTCAAAAGATATTTCAGTTCAGGCAGGGAGTCTTTGTAGATAGTCAAGGCAGAGAAGGAAGCATTGTTAGAGTATAAAAAGGAAACATTTTTGCCACTTGGATAAGCAGGGAAAAAAGGCAAGTGGGAATTACTCTACAACAGTGATTGGAACACTAAGTTCAAGAATAAAACCAATGCAACAGAATCCAAACAAAGGGACACAATAGACACACTTAGGAAATGAAATTGGATTTCTGAGCTGGGTTTTAAGATTCTCCCATGAGCTATATGCTACATTAAGAGATAAATGCTACCAATTCTGTACATTTTCCAGAGAGCCCCATAAACTCTGGACAATGCACCAAATCGACTCACAACATGACCCCATAAAGGAAAAGTTGTCTTTAGAAAAAAGATTTCTGAAAATCCTGTAGAACTTAATGAAGATAACTACCTCCTTCCAAACAGATCAGGAGAAGGGTTAGAACTGCACATTGTTTAGAAGCATAAACAAGGGACCTGAAAACTGACTTAATCCAAGCCCCTAACACAGTAGAGATTTCCACTGAACCAAAGCCTTAGACAAATTGCTCTCAGCTCTCAGACAGATGCTGTAACCCTAACATGGCAGCTTATTTCAAGGCTCTCATTTAATCCATCGATCTGCAAACCCTGCCTTTGGCTTGCAAAATAAGTTTGGGTGACCAGAGTACAAAAAGTAGAATTGGAATGTAATGAGAGAAAAGAAGACTGTGATGTTGATGTTGATGTTCTTCAGTATACACAAGAAGATGCTTACTCCCCAGTTGTATTCTTTGCTGATTGTTTTTGTCCCTTGCAGAGCTGTGGTTACCTATATCTCAGCCAGTGTAACAACAGGTGTTACTATTGACCACAAAAACATGCTGTTTCACTTTTAAAATTAGTGTTGGTGTTTGGCATTATGATCTTCTCTGGCAACAAGTGCTGGAGACCAGGTCCTAGAATCTGAAGAAGGATTTCTTTCTATGTGTTACAGCATCTGAGGAATCCCCATCTAGCTTGGTATCTGGACTGCATAGAGGAGATAGCTGGAGGCTTTCTTTTTTTGGTCCACATGTGTTTTCCTTACATTAATTTGATTTAACTTCCATCATTTTCAAGTGATTAAATGTACTTCTGTCATGATATCCATTTCATCTGAATGGTAGCCAGAAAATATGCTTTGGCTAAATATGCTTTGGTTTCTAACATTTAATTTCTTAACATATTCTTTATGAAACTCTGCATCCTGCTGTGAAACTATTTCCATTAATGTTTATTAGTGTGCAAGTTGGTGAGACAGGGAGATGAAGGAACTGTGATGTCCTGGTGTTCATATGTGGGCATGTGAATATAATTCCATAAATTTCATTCTATGAGAACTACCTGCTAACCAATCCCTTTGCTGCATGTAATCTTGACCTTCTTCAAGTCATTATCCCCAATTCTACTGAAGTGATCTCCTATAATGTACTTCTGACCATGACATCCTTTGCTTAAAACACTCCCATGACTTCTGAATGTCTACAGAGCAATGTCCAAACAAACTAGCATGATTATAGTTCTTTATAAACAAGTACCTACCTTCTTAGGTTCATTTCTCATTATCTCTTACCTTGCATTATTAACACATGGCAAACTTATAGTTCATTTTTCTTTCAATTTCATGCTTTTACCCAGGCAATGGATCTTTGCTTGACGAACTTCTTACCCTTTGTGAGCTCAAGCATTCTTGGTCTCAGGATTATTTTTTGCTTTAGATTATATTTATTACTTTATAATATTGTATTTATTTTTTATTTTAGATTCAGAAGTACATGTGCAGGTTTGTTACATGGGTATAGTATGGGTTGAAGGGGTTTAGGCTTCTATTGAACTTGTCATTCAAATAGTGAGCATGGTACCAAATAGGTAGTTTTCCACCCTCACCCTGCTCCCTTTGTGCCCTCTCTAGGACTCCCTAGTGTCTGGTTGGTCTCATCTTTATGTCTAAGTGTACCCAATGTTTAGCTACCACTTACAAGTGAGAACACGTGGTATTTGATTTTCAGTTTTAGTGTTAATTTGTTTAAATAATGGCCTCCAGCTGCATTGATGTTGCTGCAAAGGATAGCATTTTGTTCTTTTTTATGGTGGCATAGTAGTCCATGGTGTATATGTACCACATTTTTTTCATCCAATCCATTGTTGATGGGCACCTAGGTTGAGTCAATGGTTTTGCTATTGTGAGTAGTGCTGAAATAAACATATGAATGTGGGTGTCTCCTTGATAAAATGATTATGTTCCTTTGGGCATATATCCAGTAGTAGGATTGCTGGGTCAAAAGGTAAATCTATTTTTGGTTTTTTGAGAAATCTCCAAATTGCTTTCCACAGGGGCTGAAATAGTTTACATTCCCACCAACATTGTATGAGTATTCCCTTTTCTCTGCAACCTCACCAACATCTGTTGTTTTTGATTTATTAATAGAAAATCATTCTGACTGGTGTGAAATGATAACTCATTGTAGTTTCGATCTGCATTTATCTGATGAGTAACAATGTTGAGCATTTTTTCGTATGTTTATTGACCTTTTTTATGTCTTCTTTTGAGAATGTTCACATCCTTTGTTCACTTTTTAATGGAGTTATTTTTTTTTCCTTGTCAATTCATTTAAGTTCTTTATAGATTCTGGATATTAGTTCATTTGCTAAATGCATACTTTGCAAATACTTTCTCTTTTTCTGTATGTTGTCTATTTACTCTGTTGATAGAGCAGAAAAAAGTTCTTTTTAAATTAAGTCCCACTTGTCAATTTTTGTTTTTGCTGCATTTGCTTTTAAGGTCATAAATGTGTTACCTAGGCTGATGTTCAGAAGAGTGTTTTCTAGGTTTTCTTCTAGGATTTTTATAGTTTGAGGGCTTACAATTAAGTCTTTAGTCTGTCTTGAGTTAGTTTTTGTGCATGGTGAGAGGAAGGGGTCCAGCTTCATTCTTCTGCATACAGTTAGCCAGTTTTCCCAACACCATTTATTTAATAGGATGTCTTTTCCCCAGGAATCTCTTGATGACTCTTTCCCTGCAGATGGGATAGAAGTTTCTTCTCCATACTTCTTTTTTCAGTACTCTTCATAAATCTTTATCCTCACACTTACAGTGCTTTATTAAAATTCACTAATGTGTTTGTTTCTACTAAACTATAAGCTACTAGGTCCTGTGTTCTCTGCATGGTTTCTTGCACATAGAAGATGCTCAATAAATGAATATTTTCCAAATAAATCAATAGTTAAAAAATAAATGTACAGAACTCTGTAGTTTTTTCTCCCCAGCCAGATAGCAGTAAGTTTTACATTAAAACCTAAGTATGGAAATGGTATTTTATCCTTTCTGTAGCCCAGTTTGCAGATCATATGTGCTTAGCAAATGAATGTCAACTACATTAAGCTCCTCTATGGTATCTCCCCCATGGTTGTAGAATGCTCGAACTAAACCTCCTTTTTTACAACACCCTCATTTAATATATACTCCTCTGTGGTTTATAAAATAGCAAAATGACTCAGGTAAGATCACAAAATTTGATATTGGCTTAAAGATTAAACTTGATTTCCTGACGTCCAATCAAGGATATTTTTACCACTATTATATGAGATTGTGAGTTGAGAAACTGAAATTTAGTTCAAAGAAAGCAATAGAGAGACAATTGAAGAAAGACAGAAAAGGAAATATTAATGAAGTTTTGTTTCGGAACAAGAAAACATTTAAAGTGCCTAAAGGTTATGTCATTTTATTAGATAGCAAAGAAAATACAGTTTAGTAAGAGAATTAGATTTGGCTAATCCATTTGAGGACATAAGGAATTTCAAACTGAAAAGTGTAATGGTAAATAGTAATAAGTACAAAATCGCAAGTGAAAATGCAAGGCAATATTGGTCAGTGTGGTGTACAGGCTGGGAACCCTGTGCTTCAAAGAAGAACTGTGACTCTGGACCAAAATAGCACAATTATCCAAGCTTGAAGAATGGATAGGAGACAGAACGACTGAGTGGAGGATGCTGGGTGTGATGAACAGAAGCACAGAGACTAGAGAGTCCAGGCCAGTGGGTTGTTGGGGCTGTGCATAGGGGGCAGTGGTGAAAAGTTCTGGAGAGGTAGATGAGATAAAATTTTGAAAGATCTCTGTGTTATTCAAGGTTCTTTAGAGAAAGAGATCAACAGGATATATATACATATACACACACAGAGAGATCTAGTAATAAATTGGCTTACAAAATCACAAAGGCTGAGAAGTTCCACAGTCTGCCATCTACAAACTGGAGACCCAGAAAAGTTGGTGGTGTAAGTCCAGTCTGAGTCTGAAAGCCTGAGAACCAGAAACACCTATAAGGTCAATCCCAACTGAAGAACAGGAGAAGGCTGATGTTTCAGGCAGAGAGCAAATGCTGCTTCCTCTGCCTTTTTGTTATACTCAAGTTTTCAATGGGTTAGATGATGCACACTCAAAGTAGGAAGGGCCATCTGCCTTAACAGACCACTAATTCAAATCCTAATCTCTTCTGGAAGCACCTCAGAGATATACCCACAAATAATGTTTAACCAGATATCTGGGCAACCCGTAGCTGAGTCAAGTTGACACATAAAATTAACCATTACAGTCTCTAATGCAGGGTCAAGGTTTAGATTGATTTGTGGGTGACATGAATTCATGATGTAATCTGTGTGCTGGGAGATATTGCATGAATATAAAAATTTGAGCATCATTAATTTGATAGTGATTTGTAAAACGCAGGAGAGTGCAGACCAGTAAAGAGTATACATGTGAGTACTGATATGTGGAGGTAATAAAATCCAAAGTCTAGAGTAATGAAAGTAGGGAAAGAAGGAAAAGGTTATAAAAATAAGAAATGTTAAAAATTAAAATGCTTTCTATATCTCAAGACTTAAATGTCATTGAATCCTCACAAAAACTCTGCAGGAATCAAACATTGAAATCTGAGATAGCCCAGGTTCAGGTTAAGTAACTTGCCAGAAGTTACACTTCAGAGATTCAGACCCAGCCTATGGAAGACACACTTTTTCCCCTGCATTGCTCTGCTTCTTAGCCAAATGGGTAAATGAATTCCACAGATGTATGTGGTGCAAACAACTGCAAATAAGAAGGGGGACTCCCCCCAAAAAAGCAGAATTATCTTTTGAAGGGCAGACTCCCTGTAGTACAGGTTTCCCCCGCTAGGTAAGTGTTATAGGAACCCATTCACATTCATGTACCAGCTGGTATTTTTGTAAGAGGCTGTGTTCGGCTTCAGTGAATTTTTCTTTTTTGGAAATTCTGTCGATGCATTTGCCCATTTCATGATGGGTGATTTGTGAACATACCTGCCCATACTGCACTGAGTGTTCAGTTTTTGACAAAAAACATGGCATGACTCTGTGCCCCACCCTCCCTATTTACCTGATCTCTTCCCCGAGCAACTTTTTTTTCTTCAGTTTCTCTGGATGCAAAAAGTCCTCAAAAGGAAATACTTTGCCGATGTGGGAGAAGTGAAACAAAAAACAGCAGAAGCACTAAAAGGTATCAAAATTGATACATTCAAAAACCATTTTGAGCCATGGAAAAAGTGCCTCGATGGGTGTATTGCATTGAACAGAGAGTACTTTGAAGGAGACTGAAGTTTAAATGTGTAAGAATAGCCAGGTGTGGTGGCTGATGCCTGTAATCCCAGCACTTTGAGAGGCAGGAGCAAGAGTATACCTGAGTCCAGGGATTTGAGACCAGCCTGGGCAACTTGGTGAGACCTCGTCTCTATGATAAATCAAAAAATAAGCCAGGCATGGTGGCATGCACCTGTAGTTTCAGTTACTTGGAAGATTGAAACAGAAAGATCACCTAAGTCCAGCAGGTCAAGGCTGCAGTGGCCGTGAACATGCCACTGCACTCCAGCCTGGGTGACAGAGTGAAATTCCAACTCAAACAACAAAAACAAAAACAAACAAACAAACAAACAAAGAATGTTGTCTTCCTTAAAGCCTGCCGAGAGAGCATGTCCCTGCCAACATTTTGATTTTGGTCAGTGATTCTGATTTTGGACTTCTGGCCTTCAGAATTGTGAAAGAATAAATTTATATTATTTTAAGCCAACAAGTCTGATCATTTGCTACAGCAGCCATAGGAAGCTACAATGCCCAAATGACATTAGAAAGCTTATGTCATCAACACCCTGAAAACCCCATAATGTATCATTGGACTATATACTGTTCACAGAGAAAGAAAAGAAGGGGCATATTTGACTTCAGCAATACCTTGAAGGGAATTTGGATTAACCTTGAAAAACAGACAGAGTATGATGACTTCCCAGACTCTGTTTACTCCACATATAGACTATTTTACAGTAATTCTTTCCATACTTTCCACTTATTAATAGGTTGCCACTATTACAGGTTCGACTGGTGTTAAGATGTTAGAACTGACAAAACAAATGAGCACTAATAAAATGCAAAACTATTCTGCTATTGAGTCATTGAACCAATGCAATGGTTTATAGCAGCGTGATGAAACTGAATAATTGGATACTGTGATGAATTTGAGGTATTACCATTTTGATGGCTTTAGGATTATGATAAGTGTTAAACAGTAACAACGCCACATTCCTTTTTGTCCGCAGGCTCGGTGGGATGGCTTGACAGGGCGTATCACCTTCAATAAAACCAACGGCTTGAGGAAGGATTTTGATCTGGACATTATTAGTCTCAAAGAGGAAGGAACTGAAAAGGTAACCTCCTCGATGACAAATAAATAAATAAACATTGCTCAAGCATTTTTGCTAAAATGCACAGACAAGTGGAATGATGGAGTGATTCTTTCAGCATGTTCATTTACATCTAGTTTTTTAATTCTCTTTCCCTCATCTGCAGATAGATGTCGACGTGCTAGACTCTCAAATTGCATGTGTTATTAATAGCAATGCTAACTAATGTTTACATAGTGCCTGGTTTATATAGCAAGTGTGCATAAATTATTACATATATAACCCTATGTTTGGGAGTCATAGGCCCATTTCTCAAAGGTTTTAAGAAATTGAGTTGAGTCTTGGAAAGGAAGAAGCTGTCAAGGGTTTATCTATGGAATGACATTCAAGAGTTATTTGGAAATTAATTTTAATCATACATTGCTTTCCATGTTGAGATTCGTGACAGAGGGATAGAATAAAGTAGGATAGAAGAGGCTTACTGAAACAAATTAACTGTCTTTTCTTAATTTTAGGACAAATGCCAAAAAAATGTATTTGAATGTTGGTTCTCATTTTAGAATTATTTTTGTTGTAATTCTCAGTCTTTCAAAGTTAAAGTTCTATTGTTACTATTTAGAGTAACACAAATGTAAACTATTCATTTAAATAATAATGTCAAAAGAATTTGGCTTTTATTATAATGTTAGTATTCATGACTATAAATTGGAATTAACACTTATAATGTGAAGAATTTGCCCTTTGGAACATTAATGAAGAAAAAAATGAAACCACCAAAACCATCACCTAAACATAAAAACTCTATAATCCAACATTTTTTCCACTGTAGTAAACAAGAGGGTGTGCTTAATGTAAACAAGTGGCTTTGGAAACATTCAATTGTTTACTTAATTAGAATTAGTTGGGTTGATTTTTTAAATGAGGTAAGGTTTTGATTTCTGTTTTGTTGCTTTTGTTAACTGGGACACATTTCTTTTTGCAGGTACTAACTATCCACACACCCCCAAAAATATTAATTGAGACAAAGCTCAGTTAGATGGAATGGAATAGAAGGTGACTACTGGTGTGAAATGTTTGAGGAGAATAATTACTTTGAGCTTTGAGAGTACACATTATACACGTGCTTCCCCCACCCCCATCTCTGGCTTCTTCTTCACTCTGATTTGCCCTCCGGTTGGTCTAAGATGCTCAGATGCTCAGACAGAGCACAAGGCACCCACCCAGCCTCCACAATGGAATCTGGGATTTGGGCTAGAGAGAACAAAAGAAAAGGATACTTGTTATGGTCTAAAAGCCTATAATTTGTTTTTAAAGAAAATGTCTGCTTCTCAAAGCATGCGTCTTTCTCCCCCCTCCTCTTTCCCTAATGTTATAACATTGAGAGGAGCAGAAAAGCTGTTAAGGAAACATCTTTTTGGCTCAAATGAATGATGAAATATATGGAGCTATTGTTATGCTTTCATAGCTATTTATACACTGCATTATTATGCACACTCTACTGGTGTTTTTCCATCAAAGGCAAAATCGAATTAGATGAAAGTGTTTTCTGTTTGTTTCTTCTCTCTTCATTGTTTGCAGTAACTTTTCTTTCTTCAGGTGACTTGGGCTCAGTTCCTGAGAAGGCTGATTGGCCTTAAGGCAATGCGGGAAGCCAACCCATCTCTTTCAGGAGCCAAGGGAGAAAATGCCCAATCTTTTCTTGTCAGCCTCTCTTGGGGTCAACAGGGAAAGTTGTCAGAAAAAGCCCATTTCTCACTTTCCCTCAAGTTTCTACTCAAGATTCTACTATCTAAAAGTCCAGAATCAAAGAATAAGTCTTCAAGCATACTTCTTTTGCTAAGGAATAATGTGTGTGTATGTAAGTGTGCACACGTATGTGGATTGATTGGTTGGTTAGTTGGTTGATGGATTTTATTTACAAATGACTTTAACAGGTCTTTTTAAGAAATGATGAAGATTTGTCAATGCTGCAGCTTATCTGGATACATTCAAATGCACTTTAAGTCATTTTTTTTTTTTTTGGTGTAGGAAAAGAAAAGTAAAAATTAAGTCTTATGACCAAATAACTTCTGTGAGACCTAAGTCTTGATTCATCCTTTCACTGTACCTATTATCAGCCTTTATGCTGAATTAAGATGCAAACTTCCAGACAATGGGTGGGCAATGTGACACTCTTAGCAGTCACATACCACGATATCCTTTGAGTTCCATGCTCCATTTTAATTAAGTGCTATTTTTATTTTATTTTTCCCTCTGAAAACCAAGGCTGCTGGCGAAGTGTCTAAACACTTGTATAAAGTGTGGAAGAAGGTTTGTACTCTGATGACAACTGCAGGAAACCTGGGGGTGGAGTGGGAAATGTCACTGCAAAAGCCTGCATCCTTCCAATTTTTGCCAGACCAGTAGCTCTCCAATTGCAGTTTAGAGGTGATAGTCTACGTAAAGAGAGAGCAGGAGTGATTGAATATGTTCTCTCTCAACAACATTACCCGTGAATTGAAAACAGGCTTGCGATGAATTAAATAGTGATGGATTAAATACTTCCCCTTAGATTATTTTTGTTTTTCCCATGCAGGATCAGTCCCTGTTAGGATTGAAAGCAAGTAACTGCAACAGAAGGAGACATTGACCCATTTATATTTTTCTCAAATCACTAAATATTTTCCCTGAGGGGTATGAAAACAACAATAGATTTGATCCATTAGACGAGTCAGATAGGCTACAGCCTCAGAAGACTAAGACACCTCCTTCAATGTCACCACCACAAAATATGAGCCATTTTCAGAAAATTCTTTTTTTTATGAGCTATCTTTATTTTGCACAGTATCTTCATCAGAGCATACTGTCTTGCAATTTGTTTTAGAACCACAGTTTCCAGAGGACAAAAACATTAGAGACCTTGGAAGGGAAATGAGATTATTTTGTAAATTATAACAACCACTATTTTATAGTTTGTTCTACAATACCATGTTGTCAATGAACATGCATAGATTTATATAAGCAAATGCTAGACATTAAAAACATTTGGAACAGGAAAATGTCCCAATGACAGCAAACACTGTCTTCCATCCTTTCCTTCCTCCTTTCGTCCTCCACACTGCCTCCCCCACCCCAAACTACTTGCCAAAAAAAACCCTGTGAATTGTTGGACCTTAAATCACTTCAGGTTGTTCAACTTGAACAGTTTTGCCAGGATTACTTTCATCTTTCAAATTATCAGCTAAGTCAGAGAAAGTATACAGTTTCTCCCTGTAGCCAAAAAGCTTGTCTCCATTTGGTAGTACTCAGTAGACAACCTCAAAAATTTCCTCTTCTTAAGTTTTAAAAACACAGGTTTAAGAATCTTGATTTAATCTTCAGTGAACTATAGTGAACTAAAGCACATAGAAGGTGATCCGGTTTCCTCACTGCTAGTAAATAGGCGAACCTAACTGGCACCCAGAAAGAAACCTATTACATTAATCCAGCCTGAAACTCCAGGCACTTTGAATTAATTCAATATGAATACCCCAGGGAATGGAATCCAAGCTCTAAAATTATATGCAGGGAGGGGGAATACCCTTTATTTATCACTAAACTGTAACATCCACATCCATTTCCCAGAGATGTAACTTTCTGGCCTTGATGCTCCATGTCTTCATGTCTCTTTCTTTCTTATGATCTGTCATTGCCCACATTGTAGCTGTATATGCCATGGCATGGTGTGCTGTTTCGTGTAATGACTACTCATCAATAATTCATAGTAACCTAAGTTCTAGCACAGGGGACCCATTCAGATCCAACAGACACATTATACTTTCCCCAAGAAGACTCTGTCTTAAAAGGAGAATCACCTTCATCACACCTAAACTCCAAAAGGTCATCTTGGCACTCTGACCTTTTTTTTAGAACAGACTAGTTCACCTGAAATTCTTTCCAAATGAGGGAAGTAGCAATCTTTACAACACCCCACATTAAAATGTGTTATTAATAACAAGGCTCATGATACAAGAAACAGATACACCTTTATTTTTTTCCTCTAGATACTTGATTATTTCACTCAGCAATTTTTGATTTTGAGTTTATGTGAATCACTCCCTAGATTTGGAAGACAGATACTAGTCACTCTCTGAATACCCTTTTGTTGCATCCTTTTTAAAAATGTTTGCTTAATGTCATTTGGGCACTCATTTTCAAATGTTCCCCTCAGTTGTCCTAGATAACAAATGGCTGTTCCCTCATGTCAGCTAACACAGTGAAAGAAGTCAGGGCCGGGCAATTTAGCTTTTGAGTGTTCCTCCTCACGAATAATTGATCCATCCTCCACTACTTCTCACTGGTAAATTACTTGCTGTCTGCTCTCACCATACAGCTTGAAAATGAGAAACTGCTTCCTGGAGGCACTCCTCCAACTTCATAGAACAGGACTGAAATGCCAAATGTCCAGGCATCTAGTTAACTGTACCTCTGCCCCCAGCACACATGAATCATGAGGTCTGACTTCTTCAGAGGGAGACATTTGCTGACAACATATTCATTTACTTCAATTAACAGGTAAAGTCATTTAACTACTTAGGTGTAAAAGACGTGCGCACGTGCACACACACACACACACACACACAAAACACTTATACTTTGTTGATTACACTTTTGGAAACAGAAGGCTGAGGTCATTCAAATTGCACATGTATGCGATCCACTTCCTGGGAGCAGCCTGACTTTTACTATTTAATACTCTTCTCATATACATTGAAAGGATCTTCTGTTATACAGAGAGTAGGAAGAAAAGTAGTCACCCTTTTCTTATTTTAAGGAGGAAAGCTCAAACTGAATGGAACTCAGGACTTAGTTGATTGATCGTTGCAGCAATAATCTCTTCAGTACTTTTAGCAGGGAGGGTGAAAGAAGTAAAAACCAGATATCAAGCTGTGAGGTGTATTTGCCTACAAGTTCAAATTTTATTTTAGAAGAGAATGCTATTCTGAGGCCATACAACATTGACGTGTTTCAAATATGTATAGCACCTTTAAACATAAACACATTTGACAGTAATAGAAATAAGAGTTAAGGAGGACACATTCTATTATATAATTAATTGGCTAACAGCTGTTATTTTCTCTACCCTTCAATACTTACATAACTAAAAATTAGATTCCATTTTCCTCAGTCAAGGTAATTAGAAGTACAGTCAGGACCCAATTTACACACAATTGTCAAAGTGTTAGAAGTCAATTGTTCATAACCTAAAGCTTAGCTTTGGGTGAAAATCAATAGACACGTGACTTACGTTTTTTTAAAAGCAATAGGTTGTTTGCCTCAAAATAATGAAAGAGGGGGTGGAAGTTGAGAAGAAAGAGAATAAAATGCTATCCCCGGCTTAAGACCAGTCAAAGAAAACTTCAACCAAAGATTCTTCAAGCAATAGACATATAATGTGCATTCTAGGTGATAATCATCACGCTAGATCCTGGAAATACCTAACTTTTTAAGGGTGCCAGCCCACGATTCAGTAGATACCTCTTTTCAGGCAAAAGCACAATACTTTCAAATACAAAAACTAACCCATACACCTTCATTTACCCCAATAAAAAGATCTGTCTATTTTTCCAATCAACTGATCCTAATTAAGTGCAGGAAGAAAAAAGTGAAATTGAAATGGTTTACACTAATGTGTGAGTGTGTAATAGTCCTTGAAACTTTCTCAAAGCATTTGTCTCTAAAAAGGATACTTGTCAAGCTAAATTAATTTTCAGCTGCTAAATTTAGGAAGTGAATCAAAGTAAAAAAATAGGAAAGCAAAGAATGATGACATCCAGCGTTTCCACATCTTTCCATTGGGCGAATATATTTAAGGGTCAAGCATAAATCCACTCTGTACAACTCAGAGTAGGTCCAAGTGTTAGTGTTTCTAAATTTCCCTTGTTTTTCATATTTCTTGGACTTTATCAGCTTCTGGATTTAAAAAATTACTACTAATTCCAAAATCTTTCACAAAAGGGCAAGTTTGAATAAATTACTGAGGCATTCATTTGAATTTTTTTATAATTAACACATGCAACTCTTAACACACTGACACTTTCACATACATCATCTCATTTGATCTTCTCATTAGCCCTATAAAATACTTCATAGTTAGAGAACCAAAGCTCAGAAAGAGTAGCATCTTGTCCACGGGCACACAACAACCAGGTCTACTTGGCTCTGAAACACACTTGCCTGCTACTGTGTGAGGTTGTCAGTAAATGCCTCACTCAATTCTCAAAGACAAATAACTCAATTCCCAAAGACTCTTTTCCTGGGTCCCCTACCTCCCAGAGCCTAAATGAATCAATATACTTCTACAGGGCCTAGTAACCTGGGAGTAACTTGGCCACTGGAAAAAATTGGGGGTCATTATTTTTTAAAAGAGTAATGGACGTCACTGAATGCCAACTACCATCGTTAGTTCTGCAATAGAAAGATCAAAGGTAATAAAAGGGAAAACACTCACTGAAGGAGTTCATGATCAAGTGGACAGACAAGAGAGGTGTAACAGGTAACAATACCAAGAGATGCTAGGTACTACCACAAAGGTATGAATGGAGTCCTGCTAGAGCCAACAAGAGGCACTCCTGCTTGGCATTGGTGCCTCAGTGAAGACAGGCTCAGAACTTAGCCTACTTATCACCCATATGTTTTCTCCCATTTATTTTGTTCTTGTTTTGATGCTCGGTCTCTCCACCATCCACCCACCTCCTTTCATTCCATTATTCATACATTTTAAAGAAACTGATGATACCTCTTTGGCAGCATAAGGATCATATCAGTAGAATGTAAGCTTCACAGGAGCAGAAAATCGCATCTGTTCTATTCATTGCTGTGTTCTCAATGCCTAGAACAGTGCCTGGCACATAAGTAAGCTCTCAACATGTATATATTGGAAGAAAAATCTGAAATTCATTTAAAAATTCTTAGATGTAACTGTACCCCACAATATCATAATAAAAAATATCGATTATAAAAATTAAAAAATTAAAAATTTTTAAAAAAGAATTCTTAGATGTTTTTAATTTAAAAAGAGCAATAATCTTAATAAATTAAAAACAAAAATACCTCCTCCTACCCTTGCCCCTGCAGCATAGATTTCTTCTATTTCATCTACACGTGCATTCCTTCATGGTTTCACTTCCCATTTAGTAGCTTCTTCTGTGATTTCCTGGTGTCGCAAACTGTGAGCTGTTATGTCCATTCCTGGTGCAGAAGGGGCCTCACTTTAATGTAAATACTGTCACTGATAGCCCGCAGCCTCTGATGTACTGTGTTCTGTATAGATTGGGATTTGGAATTCCAACAGTGGGCTTAACATGACGGACGGCAACAAAGACAGGTCCAACAATATCACCGACTCACTGGCCAACCGGACACTCATTGTCACCACCATTCTGGTAAGTTGACTTCGTGGAATTCAGGGAGTCTTATCTAGACTCCTGTCCTAGACTTTATCGAATTCCTCAAGTATCTTTTTCATGCCGACAATAATTCTGTCTGCTAATGTCCGTTTTTAACTGGGACACTAAAATAGCATGTTTGTACATACGTATAATGGGATTGAATTACAAGTTTTTCAAATTGTTCTGAAGATTCCCTCCCTTGCAGTCCGTTCCTACTCCATTTCCACTCCCAGTTGGTCTTCCTTGCTCTCTGACTGCTGGCTGCTTTCAGTCATGAGGCAACTCTGGCAAGAGACCAGGGAAATGTGGGAAGAGAGGTAAAAGAAGCTCTTCCCCTGTCCCCTCTCAGTGGCTACTAGTGGTTTTGTCAGAACCTCTGACCTTCCATACCATAGCTCCTGTACTGTCAATGACACAGATTCTAGGATCCAACTGCTCTGCGCTCCAGCAGTGCTCTTTCCTCCCTCTTTGCTCAGCCCTGTTTGGGACAGCCTTTCTGACGAGGTTGTTCCCTGAGTTCTACGTCCTGCCCTGAAGTCTTTCCACCACCACCTTTGGTTCCCTTTGCTCTTCTCACAACTCTGTAAATAGCCCTTTATTAACTGTTCTTCAAAAGTCCTGTCTCCTGTTGGAGCCTGGGTCATACTCCCATCCAGCCACTAGACACCTGCCAGTTGTTCGATCTTCCTTTTTCCTTTCTCAAGGGAGTTGAGCAGGAGTAGCTCTCTCTAAAATCTTTGCTTGCAGACATCCCTGCCTTACGTCAGTCCATCATGTCAGATCAATTTATTTGTAGAACTGTTAACTTGTGAGAATTGTTCATCCAAAGTAAAAACTGTTTTGCTCTTCTGGTCACTACTTTCTCTGCAACTGTCTTATTGAAATAAAGGGTCTTCTATTGGATTTACTTGACCCAACTATCAGTTTATTTGAGGATAAGCCTACACATAGACAACATGCCAGCAGTATAACAACTATTATAATTTTATAAAGCAAAATACACTTTCATTTAGTTGAATGAGAATTAAAAAGGTTATAGATGCAGGGTAGTAAGAAAATGTCTGTTACTCATAGGATAGGAGATTGATCCTGTAAGCATATAAGCAAAGAATGATAAGATGTGAGATTTGAGGTGTTTTCAAGTATGAAAATGGTATTGATGGCAAAAGAAGACGTAAAAATGGTCTTTGAAACTGACTACACTGAAGAAACCAAACAAAATAGATAGTAAGTGAATAATGAAATGTAGATGAAATTTAGATGAGGAAACGAGAGCAGTCAGTAGATATGAAGGTTGAGGAAGGAGCAGAAATATTTGGTGATTTAGACTTCTCTTTTGCAAGTAGGTGAGGCTCTTAGATAAAAAGCCAGGAAAGAGGACATCATACAAAAAAAAACTTGGACGTGGGCACAGCGGAAGACCAGGTATCTGGGCCCCCATTGCCCTCTGCGCTTTTCCTCCTCTCAGATCCAAAGTTCAAATGCGACTGGATGTCTAGTACACCATTCACTCACAGTCCCACCCTCAGCAGGGGAAAAAATGCTCCCATGCAAAGAAGCAGGAGAGAAAGAAAAAATAATTTATGAAGTGTTCTGTATTTGTTGAGGTCATAGGCAGGAAGGTGAGTGACTGACTGCAGGACTCTCAATTCTTCAAAATCATTTTCAAATATTTTGCATCTCCAGGTTACTGATGAAGTGAATTCTTCTTTTCATTATAACAGGGTTTTCATATTTGGTTTGTTTCATTTAGGAAGAGCCCTATGTGATGTACAAGAAATCTGATAAGACCCTATATGGAAATGACAGATTTGAAGGGTATTGTCTGGATCTGTTGAAAGAATTGTCAAACATCCTAGGTTTCATTTACGATGTTAAACTAGTCCCTGATGGCAAATATGGAGCACAGAATGACAAAGGAGAATGGAACGGGATGGTTAAAGAACTCATAGATCACGTAAGTAAAACTACCTCTTATATCTCTGGAAAAAAATGCATAATAAGGAGAAGTAAAAAAAAGAGAGAGAAAACAAAATTGTGACAAAAGAAATATTTTTTAATCTTAAAAAATATGTTGTTTGGATTTTTTTTAAGTAGAAAACAACTTGAGAAATGGAGTTTGCTTACTTAGAAGGGCAAGTAAGGATAAAGATTGATGCTAAAAATTTATGGATCCATCCTTCATACTAAAGATAAACTTGAGTGATTCTTAAATTGAAAAGAATTCTAAAGTTTTCAGCTAAGAGCAAAATCTCATCTTGTCAACTGAAGATCAAGTTGCCCATTTTTTCTTGTGCTCACATCCCCTTTTTAAAGACATCCTGCTCCATTTTTTTCTTCATTTAAGTTCTAGAATGATGTAGTGTGTGTGTGTGTGTGTGTGTGTGTGCGTGTGTGTGTGTGTGTGTGTGTGTGTGTTTCATACTTTCTGGTTTATTTTTGCTGTTCAATACTATTTAATAAACATAGTTGTGTAAGCCAACTGTTTTTGTATTAAAGTAAATCATCACAGATGCTTTCTGTGTGAGAAATGGTTTGTGTTGAGCATTGGAATCAGTAGTACCTAGGAAAAGTGCAGACATTTGCAAAGAAACAAGGCTAAACTGACAATTTTGGACTTGCTTTTGCAGAGGGCAGACCTGGCAGTGGCTCCTCTTACCATCACCTATGTGCGGGAGAAAGTCATTGACTTCTCCAAGCCCTTCATGACCCTTGGCATCAGCATTCTCTACCGAAAACCCAATGGTACCAATCCAGGTGTCTTCTCCTTCCTCAACCCCCTGTCTCCAGATATTTGGATGTATGTGCTCTTAGCCTGCTTGGGAGTCAGTTGTGTACTCTTTGTGATCGCAAGGTAAGTTCGAGAACTACTATATGTTGTCGAGGTAGACAAAATTTAAGAACTTTAAAGTGCGCTTTTAGTTTTGTCTAATGTTCTATTATCTCAAGGTTTCTACATAAAAACTACTCTGTGAATTAATGTCTTCTAACTATTTATAAACTTACTTTTAAAAAAGAGTACGAAGATATGCTTTTATATTAGTTTAATTGTATCAGCATTTCAAGCAACATAAAATGGTCATTTCTCCATCTTCCCTGACTTACATTACAACAAAAACAATGCCTTAACTAATAAATCTAAAATGTTTCAATAGAAATAATAAAATGGTGTTAACTATTTGACCCTGAAATATTTGGATAAGCAAAACAGAAAAAAAAAAGTTAGCTAGGGGATTATCATAGTAAATAAAAAGCACAGGGATAAAAAGATTGTGAAATCTTCAGGAATAAAGAAAAATACTTTGAAAATCTATGAAATTTATTTTTTTAAACTTTAGAGTTAAAGAGAAATCTACAAACAACACTAAAAGAAAAGATTACTTACATATAGAGCCTGTAGGCATGAAATCCTTGTGCTGTCCATTAAGATGATTCCATTGAGGTTTTTTTTTAAGATTGAATTCTGTATTTAACCATTCTACTCTACACAGCTCTTCAAAGGATTTTTATACCTTTCAATAGATCATATTTTCTAAATACCTTTGATGGTGAATTTGAAACAGCTATCTTATCTTTCTGTTGACTTAAACATTTGCTATCCCTAGATAAGCCATGTAAAAAATAATAATTGCTTTTGTATGTCCCTACTTGCTTTCAATCTTTTTCACCTTTCAAAAAAACACAGTGAACTTTTTCCCTAATCAATTTTTGTTTTCCCTCCAGGAATTTCTAAGAGAAATATTTCTTCATGGTAGCTCTTTGTCATTGTCCACTGTCTGGTTTTGATTAATGCCAGGTAACTCTTTCCCTGGTATAATTATAAAGAAAGCTTGGAAAAAATAGTCCAAGCTGGAAAGATGTTAAAGATTCACAAGGCAGATATAATCAAACTGAATAAATGTGTGCTCTCACATGTGGGTCTTTATATATTCAATACGAAACAAAGGTTTTGAAAATCTCTACTCCTTATAGAGTGTACCATCATCAAATCCCAGATTTTACTATTTTAACTAGCTACCAAAGCTCTCTTTACATATGCTTTACTTCAAAAAATAAAATATTGACAATGTGTGTATGATACTATCCTTTCGTACTTTACTGCTCCAAATCAGTGGTTCTGAACTAGGAGAGATTTTGTCCCCCAAGGAACATTTGACAATGCCTGCAAACATCATCGTTCCTTGTAACAACTGGGGATGGAGAGTGCTACTGGTAGCAAATGGGTGGAGTCTAGGGATGCTGCTAAACACCTTACAGTGTGCAGGATGCCCCTCCTCACCCCTCACCCCAAACAAAGAATAATTATTCCAAAATGTTAACAGCACCAGGCAGCGATACTTTGCTTGAAACAATTAAAGAAAATACTGCTTTGGATATCAATTAAAAAAAAATAAATTGTTCACCTTTGGAGGTATCTTTCTCATTACTGGCACCTAAGTGAAATTAATATTGCCGTGGAGTAGTCATTGAATAAATGACAACCCTAAGGCGCAGTACTCTCTAACAGGCAATCTTGTGTTAATTTCTTATTGCACACCTTTACCCTGAGGCCCAAACCTGCTGGGTGAATAATTAGGGTTAGTGGAGCAATCCAAGCAGCACAGGCCAACAGAAAAGTGAGTTTCCATATTCCCCAGGTTGTGGTTCTGTCTAGGCAGCAATACAGCGATCGTCTTGCCTGGCTTACTCATCAGTAGGCCAGGCAAGACAATGTTGATAAACAAGTGTATTATTTACTATAATGACTTGGCCAAAGACAGTGAGAGAAAAAGTCATCATATCAGCAGCATCCAAAAGTTTTCAGAAGCATAAAGATGCTGAAAATATCCTTTTACATTTGACACCAGATGTGCCCTTAAATCATCTTATTTCTGTCATTAGAATACATCAGAATAGTGTAGTATTCAGAAGTTTTCCCCTTCTTATCTTGTTTATTCTTCCATAAACTCTTTGTGACCCAGACCTCGGTATTTTCTGACTTCACACACACTATTTCTATTAAGATAGCAGTACTCCTCCCTTCGATGCAATTCACTCAATATTCCTACTCACTGACAGTACCATTTATAAGCCAGTCCTTTCTTTTTTAACTTATCATCCTTGTCTTCCCTTCTACTGCCTTCTTGCTCTGGGTCTTGGTTCTGAAGTGGAAGTGCTGTGCATCAAATGCAACCTTGCAAATGGCATGGTGATAAAATATAGAAAATATAAAAATATAGAAAAGAACTCCCTGCAGTGCACAGGTGCACTGTCATGGAGACTGTACTCTCAACTACATTCAACTTCTACACTTAAATCCATCCTTACTTCTACGTCATAAAACTACTATATATATTTTTAAGGCAATTCCCAAACAAAATTCTAAAACAGATGTACCAATTCGTCTTTACTTCCCACCATCAAAGTTTGAGAGCATGAATTTAGTCTGTCTGTACTTATAAGCTAAGATGTAAAATGATTTTTGGTTACCATCTTAGTGGTTTGCATTCAAAATTAGTGAAGTAGAAATGAAAAACAGTTAATCTCATAATCATCTTTAGCTCTAGAGAGGCTTTTGAATCTATGTTGTGAAGTGTATTCTTTTATGTTCTTTTAAAGGAAAAAATAAAGCCTCATCGCTGCATGGAAGCGAATGCCTTCATTAAGTAGATGCTTAAAAATCATTTGCTGAGCTGAATTAAATTTATAAAGTTGTAGACATCAATGGCACAAACTAAGAAAAACAATATAAAAATTTTAATTACTATGACTTGTAACAAGTGTCTATGTCAGTTTGTGGTTGACTTTTTTTCTACTTTTTGAAAAATATCTAACCCTGAGGAATTATGTTCATAATAAACACATAATTTAAATAGACTAAATATCCAGATGAGATATCTGCTTACATTTTATGATTTATGCTTGTCTTCTTAAAAATGATCATTTTAAAGTTGGCATTTGGCAAGAAAAAGAAAAAGAAAAAGAAAAAAATCAAGGAAATTCTTGAAAGTAAATTCAAGGATTTCAATACAAACCTAACCATTATATGGCAAATTCAAACAGAGCATTCTCCTTTGAAGGATAAATATGTTTTCCTCTTCTCAATGCAGCATGGTATCTATTCTCATCCATAAAAGATAGTTCCTTAATTAGAAAACTACAGTATGAAGATTGTTTTATACCTTCCATTCAATTATAAACCTGGCATATATAAACATAAATCCAAAATGAACCTTCACATTTCAGCATAGGTCTACTCTTTCATATGCAAGTTTTGATACAGGTTGTAAGCACGTTTGTCCCTTTCTGTGTCTTTTTACTAAAGAACAGTATTGATTTCTTTTTTTTTTTTTTTTTTTTGAGTTGGAGTCTCACTCTGTCGCCCAGACTGGAGTGTAGTGGCCGCTCCCGGCCACCGCAGCCTTGACCTGCTGGGCTCCGGCGATCCTTCCGCTTCAGCCTTCCGAGTAGCCAGAATTACAGGCATGCGTTACCACGCCCGGCTGATTTTTTTATTTATTGTAGAGATGAGGTCTCGCTGCCCAAGCGGGTCTCGAACTCACGGGCTCAGACAATCCACTCACCTCAGCCTCCCAAAGGCGCGGGATTACAGGCTGAGCCACCGAGCCTGGCTAGTATTGATTTCTTGAGAGTCATTTGGGATGGCAGTTTTAGACTATCATTTCTACAGGTCATATATTAGCCTTTTCCCAGACTTCTTGATGCTGATGCTGCCGTCACACTAGCTGTCTTTAAGCAGGCGTTAGGAATTTCAAGCTGAAATCTACATTCAGGCAACAGGTAGTTTCATTGCATTATAAAAAGCCAGTGTCTTTCAGCACAACATCATGTCATCATTTAATATTTATTAGTCCACACACTCCCTAAGTCACTCAGAATCCCAGAGAGAAAGAACCTAAAATTTCTCTGCAGAGCTGGCAGAATCACATTGCTGTTTAGACCATTTTTCTTTTTACCACCAAAGGAAAAAAAATAGATTAAATACTCACTTATAAGTGCAAAGTATGAAATATGGAAACAAGACCAATTTAAAAGCAGCATTCCAAAGAGGGACGTGATAAGCTCATCAACAGAAACATATCTGGGGAGAAATGCCAAAATATTAGGGACTGGCAGATGCCAAGTTTTATGGCTTATTTGGGGGGAAAAAACAAACCTTTTTTTGAATGCACAAGCCTCTTAATTTATTGCAATTAATATTTGAAAATTGTTGTACCAGTGACAATGATATTGTTTAAGTAATGGGATCTTTATGCTGCATACTGTCTCAATTAGTAAGTTCATTAATATTGGTATTCATCCCTTCAGCTCAACAAACTACTATGGTTATAAGAATGTATAAATGCAAAACTTAATTATATTGTTTAAAGATCAGTTAAAATGCATTGGCATGGCATTATCTAAAGCTATATTCATAAGCTTCATAGGAACCTGCACGGTGGCCCCTGCAGCTGTGGAGAAGCCGCAGTGATGAGTCGGATGCCATTATGGTGGAATTAACTACAAGGCTGTTATCCCGGTCCCCCTAAGACTCAATGAGGAGACACTATACACTTTTCTGAAGGTGTCTGGGGGTCTAGAGAATGGTTTTTCATGAAGAGGAATTGTTTGCCCAGTTCCTTGTGCATGATTCACAGTGGGCCCTGCTTTTCTTATGGCTAATGTATTCACCTTAAGCCCAGTTCTCCCTGATGTATCAGCAACCTGCTATTGTTTACTCCTGGTTCCTTATGGCTGGAGAGCATTCCATATGTTCTCGTTGGCTTTATGGTGTTTAAATATTACTCTAACACTCCTGCTTGCATTAAAAGGATCCAGTGGCAAATGGCAAAGCTTCCAGTGCTAAACATTGCTGTATTTTAAATAATTTTCAGATCACTTTGTTGAGCATCTGCTAATGTCTCTTTAGAAAAATAAGCCTTGCTTGGCAAGATAGCTCTAAAAACTAGCCATAGAGCAGAGACTTCTTCTGGGCAACATAGGTCAGAAGAGATGCTTAGAAAATAGAGAAAGAACCAAAAGTATATTCAGTTCCGCAGATTTTTATTTTCAGCATGCCCCCAGAGATATCTGAATTCCTTCCTCTTTACAAATAAGGAAGCTGAGGGCAGAAAGTTTGAGTGAATTGTTCAAAGTTGACTTCCTAGACCACTAGTTGTTTTTCCAGAAACTTTTACTGCTGTTGGCTCACGATCTTGCAAGCAGAGCTCTGATAATGCTGTAAAAACAAAACCTTCTTACTTAACCAGGATCGGTGATTAAGTGACCACAGGCCATAGTCCAGAAAACGAATTAAAAACAAATCCAGAGGAAATTATGAGCTTAAAATTCTACAGTGAAGCATGTTGTGCAGTTAATACTTATAAACCACTAGGCCTGGACCATGATACTTCCAAATGTAAACTTTGTCTCTTCATTTAGGATTGTGTTAGTTTTTTTTTCTGCCATATAATATTCTAAAAATATTGAATATACCCCAAATTCAGCCCTTCATTTTGTTTGCTATTTTTTTCACCCTTGCAACCCCCTTGATGCTCTGTGAAATCACTAGACTACTTAGTCTCCTTCTAAGCATCTGTCCATAGAAACCCCTTGAAGGCGTCACCCCTCTTCTTTGTGTCTCTCACAGGACTTAGCAAACAGTATCTTGACATTGTAGTTGCTATGCAACAAGTCCGTGTCGTGTTCATCGCTGCTTGGTGGGGTAAATACTTGAGATGAGTGAAACTTTCTTTGCAGTTCATCTAGTTGTTCAGTAAAATGGAAATGAATGAAAACTCAGAAGAATTCAGTAGACATAGATCTGAGGAGTACATTTCCAGCTGATCAATGGGCTTTGCCTAGAAATGAGAAGTCTGGTAAATACTAACGCTTCGAGGCTTTTTGCACTTTGCCCGCCAAAGCTGTAAGTTTATGAATACAGCCTTTACTCCTTTGGTTTGAAGCTTTCATCATGAATTTGTTGGGTTTTCTCCATTGTTCAGGAGGTTATGCTAGGGCCCCGAGTGTTTATCTGATATTTACAGACTGTTTCTGTTAACTACCACAGGTTTACACCCTACGAGTGGTATAACCCCCACCCATGCAACCCTGACTCAGACGTGGTGGAAAACAATTTTACTTTACTAAATAGTTTCTGGTTTGGAGTTGGAGCTCTCATGCAGCAAGGTACATCGGTCACCCATCTTTGTCACACGCATCCCACAGTGTGCTGACAGGCTTTCATGCTGGTAAACTCCACCATGAAGCTAGAGGGTAGGATGAAACACCATCCCAGGAAGTAAAAAAAATAGCAACTGACTTTCTTGCCAGTTCTCAAGACAAAGACAAAACAAAAAAAATATGACCTCAGTAGAACACCCTTGCTATATATCTAAAAGAACACTTTTATCAAGCAGTGAATATAAATTTTCCTCTGGGTAGCAAAGGATAAAGGACCTCAAAAATTGTTTACAAATTTACGTAGAGAGGTTGATCTTTTCCTTTTCGGCCATAACTCCACAAGTCAGAGGTTTGAAAGGAGTGGAATTTAAATTCTTTGAAGATTAGGTTCACTTAGAATCCTTCAATTTCTGACAGTACCTAGAACTTCCATCTAATCACCACTCTGACAAACCCTACTGAGATTCATCCCAGCCTTCCAGTAACTTCTTACAATCTCCCTCAATCAGTAACTATAGCAGCAGTAAACTGTAGGGGTTGGGAAAATAAAATTCAACCATAGAAATGTAATATAGTCTATACATTTTCTATGATTTGGGGATTTTGCTTTTGTTGTGGGGGAGGGGAAATTGTTTTAACCTTTGGAAGAAATCCATCTCTTTTGTGGATTTTTTTTCCCGATTTGATTCCAAGCATATGGTATAGAGAATACTAACAGGATTCAATTCATTAATTTAAGAAAATCATAAGTCACAGATGCTGTTGTGTTTGGAATATATTTGACAATAAGTTGCAAAAGAAATTGACAAAAATTCAACTTGAATATGTATTAAACATGTTTGCCATTTGAAGGTGAACCTTGGGGTTTTTCATCAGGGAGATGTTATCATAGCACTTGAAATATTTATATTTTGAATCTTCAAATGACAGAGAGAGAGATTCTCTAGTATAGAATTACCAAACAGCTTGGAAAACTCCTCTTGTTATATAATTAAGTATAGTTTGTATGGCCCCTGCTAAATAGGTGTAGATACCATCTGATTAACTAGAAATCGCTTGCATTAATTTAGAGCATAGTACAGAGCTATAAATTCTGCAGGAAGCCCCACTAGAAGTCATATATTTCTTTACCAGTACATTTAATTTTTAGGATACTTATCTTGTGAGCAATTACTTTCAGAGTGAAGGAGACCTCCCCTTCCCCAAAGTTTGCCTTGCCCAGCTTTTAGAGTAGAAAAATATGCATTTAGGTTTAACAGTGCTTGCAGCAGGTCTGTGCAAATAATATGACTGGAACTGCTTCTATTATGCGAGTGCATCCACCCCCCGAACTTCTCTTTCATCTTTTACCTGTTTGGAGTTTACCATCATCCACAGCAAACTGTGGGATGCGGTGTCTGTTAGTTACCACTACCTTGGATACATGACAGTCAGCCCCAACCAGACTCTGCTTGTTTTTCAAGAAGTTTACAAACATTTGTCAGGTGCAACAAATATTTCCATGTACAAACTTGAAGTACTTGTGACTGTTAGTGCCTCTGTCTTCAGCATGTGGCGTTGAACCAGGTAGCTATTCTCTGTTGCGCTCTCTCTTGTTAGCAGAAACTTGTCACTGTACTCAATTGGAAACCATTTTGTTTAATTTTTTTAATGTGATGATCAGACTTTCTCTTTTCTACAGAGCGTGAGCAAAGTCTGGATCAGGATTGGCTGTCATGTCTGCCATAAAAGGCACTAAAGAGACTTCAGCAAGTATTGTCTCTCATCCCGAATATTTTCTAATGATGTTTTACTCTTATTGCTTTCATAACTTCATTTTCTAGAGTACTGAACTTACACAAATCACCTGTACTTGAAGGAAGTCATTTCTAAGTGCTAATTAACATTGACAGTCATGAAATTCACAAAATTATGTAAAAATAGAAAAGACCAAGAAGTATCAAGAAATCTAATTGACACAATGTGTCAAATGTTTAAAATGAAATCTCAATAAGTTTATATTAATATTTGTATTAAACTTTAAAGGTAATCTCATCCAAAAATACAAATATGCTAAAATTTTGAAATGGGAAAGAGAAAAATGTGAATTTGTATTATTGCATGCCAACAGTTGGTTGTTCATCTGTCTATCCAGTTCTACTGCCATATAGCACATAACTATACAAATAAATGCAAATACAAAAATAAGTTAAAACCTTATCTTTTCATAAATGCAACCAAACACTTAAGATTAAATTTATAGCAGAAAATACGTCCCTATAAGCTAAGAAAAATATACCTATTAACTAAATTTATTTCCCATGGCTATTTTATAAAATAAATGGCATTTTAATGATAACCAACTAAAGATCTAAAATAATATCACATTACCACAAGACTTCTAGATCAACTAAATACAAAGATATGAAACAACCTTGGGCATTAAACACACATACACCCACAGGTATATAAATATAAATCTCATTAAACCACAATATTAAAACAACAGCAACAAACTATTCCACTAAATCCCTGGAAGCAATTTAATGGAAACTATTATAAATCTGTGTAATATTGCCCATCTAAATTCAAACAAACAACAGAAGGAAACATAACCTGTAGTCAAATCATTTACCTCATTAAAAGAGAATAAAGCACAAAGATACCTAATAGCATTACAAGAATATATCTGTTCATTCAAAACCCAGAAACTCTTCCAACCTTGATCTGCTTATCACTAGCCTTGACCTGACTTTGAATTTATGAGAAATATGGGCATCTGTTTATAGATTGAACTTGAGCATAAAATCATTATTGGTAGATTGGTGGACTCAAATCTTCCTTTCTATCTTAAGTCATTAATAACTATAAAACTTCAAAACAATCTAGACCAGATATCTGAACTGCTGTACTTTGCTTTTGGGGATTTCTTAATTTAGGGTGTTTTTCTTTTACTTTTTAACTAGCCACATAAATTCTGCCAAGACTTCAGGCTCATGGAGGAAATGCGAAGTACAGAAACAATGGTGAATTTCAGGCAAACTGACTATCAAAAAATCCATTCATGAATCAGTATAAGTGGAGTAAACTCTAACTGTACTTATCATTCCTTCTAATTCTGTTGCTGACTTTATAAACTTCCATAGTTCACACTGACCAAAAGTAAGTTAGACCATTTTTAAGATGTTTGATTTTTATGTAAATAAACTTAGTCCATGAACACATTCTTTTATAGAGATAGGGGTTTTTTTGTAACCACATTAAGTACCTCTATGCTATCTTTTTAAAAAAATTCTGAATCATCTGAATGACATTTAAAATCCATATTTTTACCAGGAATATCTTCTCTCCACCTAAGAAACAGTCAGTCTTTGAAGTGTAGTTAAGAAATTATACTTTATTAAATAAAAATTATACTTCTCAGAAACTGTATTCTTTCAACCAAATAAGAATTTAGACAAAAAGAATTGTGACTTTAAAAGTAACATAAAACAATAAAAAATGATCCACCCACTGTCAAGTATAGCTGCATTTTTATTTCATTGTGTTTGTAAAACCCAAATATTTTATTAAAGTACATGTTATAAATAGCATAATATGCTAATATTTTTAAAGTTTCTCATATTCTTTAACCTTAAATAAAAATGAGTTCTCGTTTCAAGCTTTCCATAATTACACAAAAGCCTGGAACATTTTATTTCACACTACAAAATGAATTTAGACAGTAATAAAAGGTCAAAAGTCTTGGAACTGACTCAATTCTAATCAACTAACCTAAATTTTAGACATAGACTATCTCAGGGTTAAAACCATTCAGATACCATCAGCTACTGATAAATTACATTTTAAGCAGCAGTAGTGATTAATGATTTGAAAAAGAATCATTTAGATTTTGTTCCATTCTCCAGAAATGCATTTATTTCATCTACATACAAGATAGTATGTCCTTAATAAATCTGTCTCCCCAGAATAGTGTCAAATTGTAAGTCTTCCCTTTTCTTCTGACTCTGCTTAACATCATTACTCTGATGATACCATCACAGGATCAGAGCTGATGCCCAAAGCTCTATCGACCAGAATAGTTGGAGGGATATGGTGGTTTTTCACCCTAATCATCATTTCATCCTACACTGCCAATCTGGCTGCCTTCTTGACAGTAGAGAGAATGGAATCCCCCATAGATTCGGCAGATGATCTGGCAAAGCAAACAAAGATAGAATATGGGGCGGTCAGAGATGGATCAACAATGACCTTCTTCAAGGTAAGAGCCTGATAAAGTATTCTCACTGGTTATTTCATACCTGGGGTACAGAATAAAATCTATACAAAAAAAAAAGGATGGTGGGCAAATTTTTAATGAAATAAAATTTGTAATGGCTTAATCATATTATAAGGAACCCCTGGGCCCTCAGCACTCAGCAGAAATGTATTTGGTCCCCAACTAGGTATAATTTCCTCTACCCCAATTTAGTATCCTTAGATCCACAGATCAGCATCTCTTGCCTTTACACAACAAAAATTGCCGCTCTATGAATATAATCTAACCACCCATCAATTAGTCATTCATTTATAGACCTCACAAAATAAAAATTCTATAAGCAGAAATTCTGATTATTTGAATACTTGAATATTATCATTTTGGGGGGTTTTTTTTGTCCTGTACTTGATTGGATACAAGCAGATGACAAAGAAATGTGTTGATATTGGAATTTCGTTTGAAAATTAAGAACAAAAAGTTCCCAGGAGACTTTGGTCTAACATTATGTCTGCACCAAAGAAAGATGGTGATCCCAACCATGCCCTTGGGTTTAGTTTTAGTGTCAAAGGCATTTATTGTCTTCTTAATTACTTACCCCTAGTAATGAAATTGATAACTGCCTTGCCTTTGGAGTAAAACTTAGTGCTTTATTATCAAATCTCAGATACTCTAGTTCACATAAAAAATAGATTGCAGTAGACCCAACAGGTGTAGAGACCATGAAGCTCAGCCCTTCCCTTTATTTATGAAGAGAACAAGGAGCTTAAGATGCTAAATAACCTGCTCAAAGTCACATACCTTTTTCATAACATAGAAGCAGCTAAAGCCTTTTATTAAGAACTATTGGTGGAGGTAAATTATACATGTGAAAAAAAAAGTAGACAACAGTTGTACTCAAAATAAACTCTAGCCGGGCTCGGTGGCTCAGCCTGTAATCCCGCGCCTTTGGGAGGCTGAGGTGAGTGGATTGCCTGAGCCCGCGGGTTCGAGACCCGCCTGGGCGGCGAGACCTCATCTTTACAGTAAGTCAAAAAATCAGCCGGGCGTGGTAGCGCATGCCTGTAATTCTGGTTACTCGGAAGGCTGAGGCGGAAGGATCGCCAGAGCCCAGCAGGTCGAGGCTGCGGTGGCCGGGAGCGGCCACTGCACTCCAGTCTGGGCAACAGAGTGAGACTCCAACTCAAAAATAAATAAATAAATAAATAAACTCTAAAAAGATCTTTGTCAAGGTTTCACACTTAGATTACCAGAAATGAAGTTAGCACCTCAGGATTAAGTTTGTTTGTTTTATAATCTTTTTTGGTGGGGTAGCAGTATTGTTTCTCCTGATCTCAAAATGGACTGTGTTTTTCTTTTTTCATTCAGATTTCTTTTTTAAAGAAATTTTTATAGATTTACAGGGTACAAGTGCCATTTTGTTACATGAATTTATTATGCAGTGGTAAAGTCTGGGTTCTTAGTGTTTCCATCACCCAAATAATGTACATTGTACCCATTAATTTATCATCCCTCACCCCCTCCCGCATCTCTCCCTTCCAAGTCTCCAATGTTTATTATTCCTCGAGTGAACTGTTTTGACTTATGAAGAATACTAATGTAGAAAAAAAACTAAGGATAAAAAAGAAGTAAATACTTTTTTGTATAACAGTATAAGTTCACAAAAATAGGCATTAATTATGCAGTAAATTTTAGCAATGAATAATACTAATAAAAAAAGATTTGTATTAAGAATAAACTATATCTAGAGTTTTATCAAAAAGCAGAGTGATGTAAAAAGGATTTACTTTTCCCTTATGTTAAAAAAATAGTCTTAAACATTCTTTTTATTTTAAGAATTGTGTCATTGATTTAATATATGTATAAAGCATGGTGATTGCTTTTTCCTTGGACAGTGATGTTCTAAGGACAGATGACATTAAATACATGGCTTTCCAAGTTTCTGAAAGTATTTTCCTCAAATCAATAGTGTGGAGAGACACAAGTTACTCCGAGCTAGTGATTTATCATGGTCCTTGTCAGAACCCAGCAAAGTCACTTGCAAAGCAAATAGGACAGAGGGACACTGCCTAAATATAATTTGGTATATCTGAAAAGAAAAAAATCTCAAATGTTTTACCTCATTCACCAATATCAAAGAGTTTCAAAGTGCTGGAAAATGGATTACTAGAAGGCAGAGAAGACTTAAATTCCATATATATATATAAAGGTAAGGAAAAGATTATCCCTTTAAAAAGCAACAGACCTGTGCAAAGGATTTATGTGCAGGATGAGTATCCTTATCTAAAAGACTTTGTACCAGATGTGCTTAGGATTTCAGATATCTTCAGATTTTGGAGTTTTGCACATACAAATCAGATATTTGGGGAATGAGACACAAGTCTAAACACAAAATTTATTTTTGCTTCATATATACCTTATACACATAGCCTGAGGGTAATTTTATACAATATTTTTAAAAATTTTGTACATGAAACAAAGTTTTGACTGTTTGACTGTAATCTATCCTGTGAGGTCAGGTGTAAATTTTCCACCTGGCATCCCGTCAGTACTCAAAAAGTTTAAAATTTGGGATTTTCTGATTAACAATGCTCAACAACTTATACTTAAAGAGTCCCTTAAACACGTTTTGGTTTGTCTTTGCTCATATCTCCTCTTTAAATATACAGAGTGCAGATTTTCCTTTTTCCTGGCAGAACCCCAGAGTGACAGTGTTAAGACATGCTTAGCTAATGTACTTCCACAGAACAAGCATGTGCTACGCTCACAACTGCTGTTCCCGGCAATTTCTGAGAGGGCTCCTGCTTGCTCCCTGGTCCTGAAAATGAGGCACAAATGAAAGTGTTCTTTCAGGTCGCCAGGCAAATGATGAGGCAATAAACACCTTAGGGGGAAAGAATGTGAGAATAGTACAAACAGCATCTATAAAAACAGCAGAATACATTGCACACTAGCTCTCAGTCACACATTTTGTTTCTAAATGCTTTATATGTATTACCTCATTTTATCCTTAGAAAGGCCAACTGAGATAAGTGATAATATGATCCTCACTGATGAGAAAAATGAGGCACAGAGAGGTTAGATAACTTGCTCCAAACTTACAAAGCTAAAATGGAAGAGTCAGTGTTCAGTCAGACTTCAGAGTTCTAGTAAGAAAGCTCTGTGAGAGTAGAGACTTGATGTGTTTGCCATTATAACAAATTACTCTTGTTTGCCATTATATCACCAGAACCTGAAACAGTGCATGACACACAGTTGGCATTCAGAAAAATCTATTTTTTAGTCAATGAATACATGCATGAATAAATTCCACCCAAGAGAAACGGAACTCTATCAAGAGAGAGGGAAAGAGAAAGAGAGAGAATATGGAGAGAGGGAAGGAAGGAGCGAGGGAAAGAGGAAGAGAGAGTGACTGGATGCATAAAGACCTGTGCTGGAAGAGACACTATTGCCAATTTCCTCATTTTACAAGTTAGATTATGGCCCAGCATCCCTCTTTATCCAGAAGGAATTTATTTGCAAAAAGAGAACAAGGACTAAATCCGATTTAGTTTTTCCCTCGAGGAAGGCAGGCTGTCAGAAAGCTTCAGAGGAATGCACACTCAAGTTCTTAAACTGGATTATTCCACAAGGGAAAGAAACATTTCAGCTTTTCAGCTTTCAGGCGAGTTCCACCCTAAGTCACTGAGTGACAGAAGTTATAATCACCAGGACTCAGTCATGACCTGGCTCCACAATGTTTTACCTCTGTTGTGCAGTTGGGATCTCCCTCCCTCCCTTCCTTTCTCTCTGAATTAAAAACCATAACTATAGGATGAATAAAGAAAGATTCATTTGCCTATTTAACCTAGAACATTCTCATCAGTGGTTGGAGCATAAGCCATTTGCTACTCATTCATAAGGACACTTCTAATAAGAAACATTTTCTCATCACACACAGTGTAATTTACAGTGTTTTTGCTCCCAGAAAAACAATATCCTCTGGCAGTAGCCAAATGGTAGAAACCTGGCTTTTTACCTTCAAGTTGATTTTAAATCATTTTATAGCCAAACAATGGCCAGTTGCAGGATAAAAAGGAATATAGACACCACCAAAAACCATAAGCAAAAATACACAAATCTTACATTTGGTATCTGGGCCACAAGCAAGGGATGTACTTAGTGACATTTCTCCTTGGAAAGTGTGACTGGAAGCATGCCCACTAAAATTTCAATCAAAATCCAGTGACTTTTTCTCCTAGATTTTGCTATGCTTGCAGACAGCATGACACCTCAGATTTTAGATTTAGGGTATTTAACTCTTAATATGAAAGAACCCCAAATTTAGTTATTCCTAAATTAGCTCAGGTAAGGTTCCACTATCCCCCATTTGAATTCAAGTAAGGCTGAGGGAATGAACTGGCATTTTTTAAGCAAATGCTGGGTCAAGGTAATACATGTCTGAGATAGGAAAGTGTACCAGTTTTCCTATTTTGAGTCATTCACATGTAGAATATTGGCCATCAAGAACTGTACTTACTCAAGAGGATAGGATTAAATCATAAATTCAATTCCATGTACTTTCATGAAGTTTTGGATGGACATCCTGAAATTCTAGCTGATCTTGTCCATAAAGAACAACTCTAAGTTTTGTGGCCAAGGTCACTCAGCTAATGATACTTATTAAACATTACATTTTCACAAGGTCATCAGCCTCTTAACCTTATAGTCTTAAGCACTATATAGTAGCCAACTTGGCCAAAGGGTCTCAGTCACAACAATGCCAATTAACTGGACAAGGTTAAAGGGAGGCAGAATATTTCATCCATTGTCCAACTACAGTTTGGAGATATTTTAGGAAATTCCTCTCTAAACATCAGAGAATTGGCCTTTAATTAATTAATGAACTGTGTTTATAAAGTCAGTGCATTAATAATTGAGAACCTCAACAGACTCTAAGATAATTTTTTAAACAAAATACCTTTTATTTCTACTTGGGATAATACTAATTGATAATCTAATATTAG